AAGATCTCTATTATAAATAAGTTATATTCTTTTATTTTATTTGTTTTATTATTTTTGAAAGTAAATGATCTCTAATATAAATAAGTCATACTTTTTTTTATTAATCATTTTATTATTTTAGTTTAATTTTTATCTTTTATTAGTCATAATTTTCTTTGATTAATAATAATTTTATTATTTAATCTCTTAAATCTTGAATTATATTAATTATTAGTGACTTTACTAATCAATATTTATAATTTTCTTGATTTATTTTATTCTTTTATTATTTATTTATGATATTGATCCAGATCTTAAAAATCTTTGTCAATATTAAAGTTTATAATCTAATTCCTCTCTTTTTATCTTTTAATTAATTCAGTCTCTTCCAATTTAATATTATTAAGATAAATTCAAATAAAAATCCATTTACTAATTTGCTATAACTATATAATTAATAAAGAAAAATTATTAGTTATAATTATAAATAATACTTTAATAATCAAGTTTGAAGAATTTTAATATAAATTATTTTATTAATAAATATAAATAAGATAAAATATAATATAAATAGTTTTAATTTATAAACTTTTAATTTTTATTATTTAAATAATATTCAGATTTAAGATTAAAATAATGTAATAATTTTGATTGAGTTATTTCTCTTTAGCTCAGATCTTTATTTTGTGCTATCTGTATAACAGATTAGTTTTTGTATTACTTTTTATAAAGATCAATTTTATTTTGAATATATAGATAATTATCTATATATTTAATATATTAAATTTAATATATTATTATCAGATAATTATCATATATACTAATATTATTAATTTAGATAATTAATATTTTTAATTAGATTATGATTAGTTACTCTTTGAAAATACAAATTAAGTTAATTAATTTTATTAAATCATATATATTTTAAAAATAGATTATTAATAATTTATTTGTTTTTTGTATTTATTTATTTCTTTTACTATAAATATATTCTTTTTATTCTGTAATTTAACTTCAGATCTGAATATTTTAAATAATAATTACAATTATAAGTTATAAAAAAAATTAAAACTGTTCATATCATATTTTATCTTGTTTATAATAATTAATAAAATAATTTTACAAGTAAAAACAAAAAGAATATATTTATAGCAAAAGAAATAAATATAAAATATAAATAAATTAATAATAATATCTATAATTAAAATACATATAATTAAATAAATTAATTAACTTAATTTGATTTTCAAAGAATAACTAATCATAATCTAATAAATTATAAATAATATAAATAAGAACAAATAAAATTATAAAGAAATAATAATTAAAAAAATCAATAATTTAAATTAATAATAAGAATACACATAATAATTATTTGTATAATATATAATAAATTTATTAATTAAATATATAAATAATTATTTGTATATTTAATATAAAAATAATTTTTAAAAAAAGTACAGAAGCTAATTTATTATATTAATAGTACAAAATAAAGATATAAAACTAAAGGAGATATTATAATTAAAATTATTATATATCTCTCCACTTAAAGTATAATATTCTTATTATATTAAGTATATGATTTCTCAAAGATATTAATAATATTTTTCAAGTTATTAAGTAACTTCTATATAATATTATAGAAAGAATAGCCAAGTTATTTAATAAAATATTGAAGTTTTTGATAATAAATTATCTTGTCAAGAATATTTTCAACTTTATATATCAGATAATAGTGATAATATATTAGAAATATCAAGTAATAGTGATAATTATTGATAAATGTATATAATAGAAAATAAAATTATTAGTAGTCTTTATGAATTCATATCATGTATTTGATTACTATATATGTGTATATAGTATATAGATCATTATGCATATTATATATCATAAAGTTCTGATAATAAGCAAACTCCTACATCATCATTTTTGAGACCAATTTTTAGAGGGGTTGCTTATTTTTGAGCCCTTTAAATAAATGTAAATGTATCGATGACTAATAATCCAAATCAAACATTCTATAGCTCATCAGATTCACATTGAAATAGTCATTTTGGCAGTTTTTTCATTTGAATCTGGTCACTGGTTATTAAAATACTCGGAAAATATTTACTGCTATATATTAAAAATTAGTTTCACAAATAGGGGTTGCTTATTCAACTTTTCTAAGACTTTTGGGTCTGAACTGGGGTTGCTTATTTTAGCATAGTGTGCATAGTACGCATGGTGATGTACTATGCGTGCATTTGCCCCATCTCTAGGTAAGCCATATTATATAAATCTCTCAAATGACAGTTATAAAGTTATCACTGAACGATAAAAATTGTGCTCAAGGAATTGATATCACCGCAAAAAAATATTTTCTATGTGCAAAACGAAATGTACCAATCATTAAGGAGAAGAAACCGAGGAAAAAACATAAAATTCCTGTAAAAATTGCATTCAAACCAACGAATGATTCGAGATTTTGGAGAAATGAATCTAGCGGATATCAAGTAAAGTTGCTTAGTTTGCAAATGTTACTAATACAAATCAAAGCAAAGCTTGAGTTTAACCGAAAACGATTCAATCGCCTCTTTGATTTTTCGTAAATAGTAAGTTTCTAATATTATTTGCTATTATTTTATATTATATGATAATGCTGATTAGATTTTTACTAAATCTAATTACTTTCTTAGGATACAGATGACTTGATAAATATTGCAATAAATTTGAATTCGGACACACCTCAAATTTATACGAATAGCGAGTTTTTCCACTTGAGAAATTTAAGAAACGACTTGGATTCAAAATTTATTATTTATATTAGTTAACTTTATCTGAATGTATAACTACAATATAAATTATTATTTCGAATATTTTTATTACATGGTATTATTAAGTTTGCATTGATGTTAGAAGCAAAATAGAATTGAATAGAAATACTCACAATAAATTTTGTAAACATGAAATTTACGACAACTCAATAACGTGAACATGCTTTACAATCTCTTTGAAAAATTATCCAACTAGTCTATGGCTGATTAATTCATAAATCAAAAATCATTTAAATGAATTCAAGTAATCATTGAAGCAAAATCGTAGCATGATAGAGTGATAATCCACTGATGTAAGATTTGATATCATAAAAGCAGGATAAGGAAAATAAATAATTTTGAAAGTAACAAGTTCCTCATACACTAACCTAACAAATTTTTTGATTTTGAAAAGTATCTATATATCTTATTTAAATTATACTTTGCTAAATAATATCATTTAAAGTTAATATAGTTCAAAAATAAAAAGCTATAGAAAATTGAATATGTGAACTTTAGCATTGATAACAGCCATAATTCGTGGCGCCATATTGGAAAATAAATTGCGCACAAAATCCCAAGGCACTTTTTGCCGTTCTTCCATCAATGCATCAATTAAATCCTTTTGGAAATTGAAAGAGGCTCTCTTTATATTTTGGCGAACTAAATGGTTCCACATATGTTCAATTGGACATAAATTGGAACTTTGGGCAACCCATTCCAAAACTAGTTTATCATGGGTTTGCATCCACCAATTAGTATAATGCGAAGTATAATATAATGCACTATCTTGTTAAAATAGGAATTATTGTTCATCCAAAGAATTAAATTTTTTACCAAAATGTTAACATAACAATCAAACTCGAGATCATTATTAACCTCAACCAAGGGTCCAACTCCATCCCAGCGAATGTATCACAAAATATAACTGATAATCCATCATACTTTACTGTTGGAACTACACAATTTTTCAGGAGAGTTTCGTCATACTCTTATCTGAGTCAAAAAGAGAAAGCTGTGACTCATCTGTACATACAATTTGGTGCCATTCAGTATTCCAATTCTTTATTTCTTTGCACCATTGTAAACGATTTTTTAATGACGAAGCGATAAAAGAGGTCTATGAATTGTATAATGGGATGCAAATGATAATAATTCATAAATTACGAATAGTATTAAAATGTATTAGGTTTTTGGTAAGTGTATTTAGTTAACTAATAATTTTATTAAGTGGTGCCTTGCGATCCTTCTTTATAATACGTTTTAAATTTCGCCTATCACGTTCAGACCAAATTTTTGGTAGTCCAGGACGTGGAGAACCTGTTTTCTTGAATCGGTTGATTTATCACGTACTTTTTGCTTCAGAATGGCTAAATTAAAGGCAATGATTGAAGCATTGTCTCTATATGATATGCACCGATTATTTGTTCACGAAGTTCTGATGACAATTATTTTCCTGATAAGACATTATGAATAGAACGAAGACTATTTTTATATACAAATAAAGACAAGAACAATAGTATAATCGAGACAAAAAAGAAAACATATACAGTATTAGGATAATCCCATCCATAAAATTGCATGGATCACATGTTTATGAATTTGTCCAATTATAATATGTCGTAAGATCTCCGGAACATGTCGAACATGTGGTTTTAGGGGATCCGATAGTGTGTAAATGAAAGATAGCTTTATATCAATTTTGCATATGAATGCTTTTCAGTATTCTAAAAATATTACCATAAATAGGTTTATTCAATACTTATATGTAGTCTTTAAAAAAAATTTACTTCAAAACTGGCAATTTTCATAAACCTAATATGCATGTTCTTGAACTGTATCGATATCATTTGTGAAGGCATTCGCAGATAAATGCACGTGTATATTTTCAATGATATCACTCGATATTAATAATATTCGGAGTTTAGTTTTCAAGAAAATTAAATTTAAGGTAAATCTTGGGTATGATACGACTAAAGAATATGATATTTAACTCGCTGAGAAATCATAATTTTGCGATGGACAAGCATAGCTCATAAATATATTATATTTATAAAATCTATTTATCTAATGTTTAAAGTAATTGGATTATTATTATATGTTTGCTGGTAAAATTTTATGAGGATTTTTTGAATTAAATAAAAGAACCCTTTTTGAATCTCATCAAACTTGCCACTGAATACTTTGTTTATTTTAAAGATTAGTCCTGTATATGAGTAATCAAATCGATAACTGAATACTTTGCGATATATTTAAAAGGTCTTCGATATCCTACGAAAAGCAAATAATAAAATTAAACCACGAATTTTTTCTCCTAGAAACAAAAATTTTAAATATACCATATTTGAAAAATCAAGTTTATCTATTTCATGGTTTTTCGTTGCCACCTTAATTTTACACAGTTTATCAGCAATTGAATCTAATTCTCTCAATCTTGCCTCAATATTATCAATATACTGATAATTCTGATTGCAAAATTTGCAATTTGTCGAATTCTTTAGATTGTTAAGAGTACGACGTACTGGAGGATAAGATGTTCCGCGAACCTGAAAAATAGATTTTTTTCCTGTAGTATCTATTTCGTTGGTGTTGGATTTTCGAAGTTTTCTTTTAATATGGATGTTATTCTTGTTATTTTTTTCGATGTTTTTTGTCGTTATTTGAGTTTGCTGTTTTAATGTCATTTCTTAAATTCTATGATTTTTCGAATCAAAGATGCACATTTTATACTGTTCATCTGATATTAGGCTAATTAAAGGAATTTTAAATTGCCGTTAATAATTTCTTTTGATGGAATCGTTATTCATTGACTCATTGTGGCTGCGTTGAATACCCCCAAAGATTCTTTGTTTTTTTTACTTTGTAAGTCAGTTAAAAAGTGATTCAAACTTCTAAAAGGTTTCAGCCGATTACGCTAAAAAAAATTATTTATGCTCTTTGTTTTATGTACGAAAATAAGTCACAGCAATTTCTACCGATTCAAGTACTTAATATATTCAGCATAATGAAAAATATGATGGTACGAAACAGTCCGCTTTTTAATAGAAAGGAACAAATTTTATGCGCAACTTCGGTTTAGATTAATTTTTCTTTAATTAGGACACAAAATTTATATTAAAATTAATTGAGTTCTACAAAAAAATAATACATGTATTATGACTCCTCGCAGAACACATTATTTTTTATGTAAATCACGATAATTCTAGATCGTCATCTGGTGTTCTTTATATGTATAACCAATCGGATATTCAATTGCATCAAGAATGTATATGTTATGTTCCATTTACATGTATTAAAAATAAGAAACAAAGAATTGAGAAGGATTTTTATCAGAATTTGTCATTGTTGGTGAAACAAGAAAGGAGTGAATGTTATTGATTTGTTCACTTCTCCTTATAAATATTCTTTGTATCGACTCATATATTCATTGTATAAAACTGAATGAGCTTTTTTGTATCCTTACATAACCAATTTTGGATTTCCTACGTCAGTTCATGATATTAAGAAGGTCATAATTGTCAAGCAAAGTACATAGAAGTTATTTTAAATATAGAACAATTAAGTTTCCTTGCATGTCTCGAGCTCATATCATCAATCAAACAAAGTTTGTGCTTAAATAGTGTGCACATTTAGCGGCTTTATAAACTGGTGTTTATAATGCGTAGATTTAAAGAGGTGTAGTTTAGAGGTGTCAATTGCAGCTTCCTTGTTAATGATAACAAGTTTGCTTTACAGATAATGATTGGATGATTAATCTTTTACCCATCCAAAATCTTAGACAAGCTCTAAATTCTGAGAAATTAAGTCTAAAAAATTGTAATATAAGCCATAAATTTTGCTCAGATTTAGTGGAAGGTTGTTAAGTGAATCTTTAAAGTAGAGTCGACACAAAAGTAATATCCGATTTTTTAAAAAATAAAATTTCGGATTTATTTTATTTCTGTCTTATGAATATAAAATTATTTTTTACCACTAGCTAATACATTGTTAGCTCTTCATATGGCTCTAATATCACTTTGATTTCTCAAGGCATTGAGCCTACAACCTTCTCAAAAACCAACACATCGAATTTCCTTCAGAGTAGTCTTGAGCTTTTTTGCGATCCTTGGGAATCTTTTGTACTTTTGAATATTGTTCCCAATGACTTGCAGACATTTCTATGAAGTCAGAGTCAAGGCAACACAATATTCATTGATTTTCTCTATTTGATTCTATCCATAGCTTCTTTCCCTAATGTAGATCAAGTTTTATTTTTCGAAACATCATGTTCTCTCAAATCAATAAACAAAGTATATTATGAAAAGGGACCAAATTACCTTAGATAAGAATTTCTTATTACCAATGTTGTTAAATGGCTCAGGATGTCTTTTTTTGCTTCTTGTATAAATGTATTTTTTTCTTGGTTGTTAAAAGCCCATGGTCGCCCAAACAGTGATAAATTTTTGTTTTTCTTGTCTCTTTTGTACTTGGCAAGAGAGACCATTACACTATCATCGGGTCACAACACATTTTTCTTGATTTGAGAGAACATAATGTTCAAAAAAATAAAACCTGATGAAAAAAAATGAAATAAATTCAAATAGAGTAAATCAGCGCCAAGCAAGCTGCAATGAATAAATTATATTATGAAAAGGGATCAAATTTAGAGAATCTTCAGGTAAGTTTTTACACAGATTTTTTATTACCAATATCATGAAATGGCTCAGGATGTCTTTTTTAATTTCTTGCATATACGCATTTATTTTCTTGATGGTTATAAGCTTATGGTCTCTCAGACAGTGGTAAATTTTTGTTTTTTCTGTTTCTTTTATACTTGGCAAGATACCATTATATTCTTATCAGGTTACATCACATTTTTCTTGCAACTTGCTTGGCACTCATAACTTCAATAAAAACCACTATTTTTATTCTTGTCAAAGATGGCCTACTGATACGACAGGTATCATATTTACACCTAAAAAATTTCACCTAGTGTATGTTTAAAAGTAAAAGAAGAAAATAATAAAAAAATTAGGGTCAACAATGCTACACATACAAATCGGGCGTTACTTTTTGTGGCGACTGTACATGTTGGATAAATCTTTGAAAGCTTACAAGCTATGAAGTATACGAAAATATTAAGTAAAATGCTCTTTATAGTATCCCTCCCCTTTAAATAATTTAATTCTTAATTTAATCCCTCTTTTTCGTAGAACTAATTATGTAAATTCCTAAAAACTTTAGTTACTAATTTATTAGCCTTGAGGTTGAATTAAAGTTTAAATTTTTTACAGGGAAGGTACTATAAAGAGCGCTTTACGGTACCATGATCTAGAAAAATTGGTTATTTATAAACAAAAAAGCTTAATACATTTAATTATTTGATTTAATTGATAACCTTATTGAAAAGTTTTAGGTTGGATTATATTTGATATTAATTATGAGATTGTAATGGATTTGGAAATTTCGAGGAGAGTTTCCGTGTCCTAATTGATAATAGCATTAATTAGTCTTAATATTTGAAAGTTCCCTTCCTTTTAAAAACAATTAACAACTCGAATATACTTACAATTTGCGAAAAATTTATATCATCTTTACCAAATTCCATCGAAATGTCAACTTGATTATGGTTGACAAGTTCATTGATTACATATTCCAAGTCATTTAATTTCGCTTCCAAAGTTTCGATATATTGATCATATTCATCATGTTCATTGCATCTTTGCGATTCGTGACTAGAACTAAATTTATGACGATGGGTTCTACGAAGAGGTGGGTATGATTCGCCGCGAACTTTAAATACATATTTGTGGCCTGTAGCATCAAATATTTCTGGTTTCGAAGGAACACGAATTTCGGGAGGAATCGTAACGCCAATTTCTTTTTTTTCCATTTCTATTAATGCGATCTGTTATTGGTTTTTTTATGATTTGTTATTAACTTTCGTAAAATATCGATGAGTTAAAAACAGCTATTAAATTTACAGTCATATTCAGGATTCGAAAATTTGCTTTCTTAGCGTTCTCATGAGAACACCCAGTACTGCAAACTTTATATAGTGAGAAAGAAAATTAATATATACGATGAAAACACCAAACTGGAACAAATTTCAACACTGATCATATTTATTTTATATGGCACTGGTAAGTTTTACGCCGCATTTTGTTTATACACGTTTTTATTTATCTCCTTATTAGGAAAAAATATTATTAGGAGTGTAAAAAGGGGAACTTTAAAGATTTCGTCATAAAAGATATTTTTAATTTGTGAGGTAGGAGAAAATTCTGAATTAATACCATACTGTAGCAAATGATGTGTATGTTTATTATTAAGAACTCTCATGTTATCACATTACACCACGAATCGGATTGACTTTATCAATTGTCCAAGATATTCATATTATTACTATACCACGTATTATCTTTCGAATCTCATTGATCTTTTATACGTTCACAAGTGTGCGGCGCATTACATGTACATGTAATATATAAACAAATGTATTATTATACGCAGCTCAAAGTTTACTTTTCATCTACAATGAATAAAGCGCAGTAGTTCCGCAACATTTAAGCTTGCTTTTATCTCTATTGTCGTTATACAATTGCTGTTCTTAAAAATGCTAAAGAAGGTATAAGACAATAAGATGTGAGCATTATCTGTCTTTATATGTACAATACATTGCTAAATTAAAAATATAGGCTATTGACTAATCAGGGAAACTGATTGACGATTACATTATAATTATAAAAATAAATCTATAAATAATGGCATACGGTATTTTTCAATCCGTTATCATGAATCGTATCGATATGAAATTGAATCTAACGATGACGCTAATAGGCAGAACATATATCGATATAATTAGAGCTATTATCGATACGTGAATAAATGCAGATCATTAATTTGAGCGGATTTTCCTCGGGATAAATCTTCGTTATCGCCATTGTCTTATTATTTGTGTATTGCTTTACCAAACTTCATTCATACCAAAATATGGGACTGCGAAAAGTAGCAATTACGTCGTACAATACGTTTCGCTTGGGATTTATATACATCAATCAATGCGAAAGTTTTGAGAAAGCTATAAGTCAAGTTACCGTATCCCGAAATAAAATGATGAGCTTTGCCTTATTTTTATTTTCATTTATAGTTATTTGTGGTCTATCCGTTATAACTACTTTTTTTAACTTGCTTACTGCAAAGTTCGGCGTAACGGGAAATTATTTAAAAGGAATATTTCAATGGTAATATTAAATTAATGAAAAATGATGTCATATGTGGATATGCACAATCATTTTTCCGGCGCATTGTCGATCTCTATTGTGTTGTGTATAGATGTACTTTTTATAAAATTTACTAAAGAAGAAATAATAATCAATCCGAGTGTTCTATGTAATTTAACTCGGATATAGTGAATTTGAGTTCCAGGCCCATTTATACTGTATTTCGCGAAATAACGCCCATGAGCGTTATTTCAAAAATCGTATGCTTTAAAAATAGCATACATGGTTTCAAATAACGCGCACCCCACATAAAACATTGATATATTGCATTTTTTTAAATATAAATTCGACCTCGGCACAAACTCGAACTCTTTATTTTGTTGTCGCTATTTTATAATATAAAGAAAGCATGACGATTGGATGTAGGTTCTACATATTAAATTACCTCAAGTTTAAACGCGATAGTATAACTTCGTTTTGTGCCCACGTTCACTTGTAATAAAGCAAAAAATTTGCACGCGAAATCATATTTTATATTACAGGTGTCTGTCGTGTGATACAAGAAAATTTAACAAATGTAAAGAAAACAATATAAATACGGGTGAAAAAGATAATAAAAAAGATTAAAAACAAGAAAAATAAAAAAACTCATATTTTAAAAAAAAATTTTCATTGATAATTACAGTATATATAGATTGCGTTATTTCGAAAATCAGGTTTAGCAGAGAATCGACCTTATGTTTCGAAATAACGTACATGCGCGTACTCGAAATAACGCACAGTTGCGTTATTTCGCGAGAATACGGTTATAAACCTTTGGATATAGTGAATTTATTAATAAACTCATTTATATAATGAATTTCGCTATATCAAGATTCACTATACCAATGCTAATTGCAGCACAATCATATTATTGATTGAATCATCAATGGGTAATTACGGTTATTTTGATTATAAGGTTGGGAGAATATCTAGTCTGTTTAATCGCGATAATTGGTCCTGTGCCGATATTGTCATATTATTTGATGATATCTCTTATATTAACAGAAATGATTTAGTATTTGATATCTATCTTGTCATTTATTGCAGCTATATTTATGCTAGAATAATATTTGTACACAGTTTCATACCAATCTTGGTTTTAACTCTAACGTTTGCTTTTTCTAACCAAAAGCCTTAAACGTTTTATTCAATTATATAATTAAGATGCCTTTTCTGGTCTAAAAGACCTATCCAATTACTAAATTACGATGTTTTCTGGATTAAAGGACTTAACCAACAAACAAAATGGTGGTCACGAGTAGAGAGAGAAGAAGAGATTTTTACGAAAAACAATGAATCACTTGATAAAGGTAATTAATTATTTGCACTTTTTGATGGTTAATTACTGTTTTTATTATTTTTGCGGCACAGTTTATACATGTTTCATATCTCAAAAAATTATCATGCGATCAAGATAGAAATTAAATAAAATAATGGATAGAAAAACAATTAAAAGAAAAATAGTTTTACAAGAGAACTTTCCAAAAAATAATAGAGTTTTGGGTAAACATAAATTTAAGATAGAATTCCAAAATACGAAAAACAAACGATTCTTTACAAATTTGGCTTTAATTCAAATTTGGTAACAATATTTTTCAAGCAGCATACAAATTCTTTTAATCTTTTTCTACTTCGAAAAGTAAGCATCCAGATTTTAAACATAAGAAAATTGTTTGTCTATGGAATACAAAATAAAATGATAGGAGAAAACTATTATTAGACCATTCCCATTTATTACTGGAACAGTTCTCATCATATACATGTAAAATGAACAGAATACATGTATTAATAAAAAGATTTATTGAGAAATCTTATTTAATATTAATATGTAATTTTTATAGAAATATCAGTTAAATTTATTAAAGTAATTAATTTATTTATTAAGGGATAACCCAAGAATGGCGTAACAATAAATTCCTTCAAGATAAATCATATGCTGATTTGATTGGCTGTCAGGTCTACCTGATAAAGACTTTAGGGCGCATTTAAAAGCAACGTACAAAAAAGTGTTTGTTCAAAAATCTTGGTGAATTATTGTAGTTCCAAATTGCTTTGTTGAGAACGCTAATAAAAAAATATACAAAATAAAAAACTCTTATTGACAATTTTTGGCCACATGTCGAATACAGACTGCTTGTGCATACATTCAATATTAATATTCCATATTTAGAACAAATGTTTACTATTAAATTTGCTTATGGACATATGAATCTGGAAATAAGTAGATTCTGACACTCACATCACATCTCTTGGGAAAAGTCTGATTGGTTGACCATAGAGCGTGTGACTATAAACAGGGAGGAATTTGATTGTAATTGTCCAATTTTGATAATATAGAATAGATTAATGAGAAAAAGAGCGAAAGGTATTATTTCCGAGTTTTCATTATTATGTTTCTAAAATAAATAATTTCTATTGCTATTTCATTCCCGTGTTATTGTTTGTACGTCTATCATCCAAATGTGCACAGAACTATAAGTTATATTAATATCGATATCAACAATTAGAACAAAGACAATAACGATAGTAATAACAGACAATAACGATAGTAATAACAGACAATAACAATAACGACGACGACAATAACGATAGTAATAATAAAGAGTATCGCTATCTTAGGGAACAATACACATGCATTCTTTATATATCTATCAAGCGTGTTACATGTGTGTGTGTGTGTTCTCTAAATATTTCTTGTTTACAAAAAATTCTACTATTGAATTTAAAGAATGAAAATGAGAACGTCTTCGAATATTGAAACTACCAAAAAGAAACAACAAAGAAATACGAAACACGCTAAAATTACGAAACTTGTGAAAACTAATACTAAGAACTCATCAAAAAGTAGAAGTAAAGCCAATAGTTTAAGCAAATCGATAACGTCGATAAGTCCACCGACTTTGCAAAAGAAAAAGAAAATTGCCAGGTTGACGAGAGATAAAGATGGAAAATGGAAACGAAACTATTCTGCATATGTTTCGTCGTCTAAAATTAAAGAGCCAATTTTGAAAGATCAGAAGTGGTTTCGAAATGGCGCTATCGGTAATGCAATTGTACAATAACAAATAATGTTTCAAACTTGGCAATTAATGAACTTTGCAACAAATGATAAACTTTGTTCTAAATACAGGTGCTGATCATTGCATGGACAAAGGAAAATCTGTGCACGCTCAGACTGTATGCATCCAAACAGGTACGTTATGGTTTTTAAATTAATTTGTTTCAAAATGGAAAAGAAGGTTATATTATAAAAATAGCTTTTTAAGTAAATTGAATTTTAGTTTTATCTCTTTGGAAAAATTTTATTAAATTCTATTAAACATATTTATTCTTTAAAAATGCCCTCGACATCTATCTGTTGCTTTGAATCCATGAATTGGGGTAATTCAGACGACGACAGAGAATTAAGATTTTTGATAACATCGAATCAAAACGTAGAAGTTTCAACACCAACAGAAGAATTCCACGTTCAACCACTAGCGAAACTCGCACAAAACACTTTTATGCCAATCGGATTCGAAATCGCAGAAGAAATTTTTTGTTATTTAGAAGTTGAAGATTTGATGGCTGTCAGTCTTACCTACAAAGCCGTGTATTACTTCATTAATTCATCACATAATTTATGGAAAAATATGTATCAGAAATTGGTGCCCGAAAAGATGGATCAAATTATGACGTCATTAATTACGTTTCAAACTTTGGTAAATCTTCAACTGAAACCGGCAGTTGCATGGAAAAGGCAAGTTTTCAGCAGACTTCGATATCGGCCGTTTTACATTGCATATTCGTACTTGGACGATCCTGATGATTTTACGTTAATGTTTCATGGAGCTTCTTATGACTATCCAACAGCATATCAAGAAGCTATCGATTATGGTTTCTTCTTTCATGGCTCTCCTAGCTCATCAACGGTTGCAAAATATGTTGAACATAAAGGACAATCCTTCGATCAGTTGCAGGAAGGATTCGATAATTGGCGAATAGCAGTTGAACAGATAAAGCCGAACTTTAAGCATCCTTTAAAAATTATCGACGGCGATGAATTATATCTTGTATATACTTATTTAGATGTTCAAGGAGGATTTCAATTCACGTTCGACAAGTTATTTGATGATAAAAGAACCGCGATCGAATATGCTACAGAATTGGCAAACCTAGAAGATATGACAAGAGCCATATATATTGACCATAATGGCGAGTTATTTGATTCAAAGCATCGAGATGCTACTAACGCAAGGATAGCGGTTGACGTGCTAAAATTTTGGAGAAAACGAGAGATTCCACAACTTGATGAATCAGAAGAATCGGAAGTGTCGGAAACTATGGTCGATGACGAAAACGAAGAGACAGACGCTAAAGGAAAACTTGAAGATTTTACTCAAATATGGCGAAGAGGTGAAATACTTGATCGTAATGCTACATGTGATGAGTTGCTTCAAAGCATCCTTGCTTATCGGGATACAGGAAACCCAAAAAAACGAACAATTGAAGAAGCGATGGATAAAATGAATAAGGAATATATAAAAAAGAAAAAAGGAAATTATGAATCATAGCATAATGAATATTCAACGATAGAATCATTTTTGGGAATACTATAATTACGTTAATATATTAGATACCCATAATAATAATATAATATACACCTTAGCATATAATAGATGTAATAGTAATAATAATAATAATAATATAATAAAACTGTTGCACATCTTACATGTAATAAAACTACACTGTGGCTTGTGCATATAATAGAGTAAATATGGAACCATTGAGCGTTACATAAAACTACCTAAATTGGGCAGTCTTCAAATACCCTAAAAAAGTCAACAAGCGTTAACATTAAACACAGATGCGTTGGACTAATAAATGTACTTTATAAGCTTAAAAAGTTGAAAAAATGTGTTCAGCAATGAGGAAGAATAACACTTTTAACAAAATTTGTTCTAGATTGCGTCACATTAAGAAAAAATTTCACTGCCTGCGAGATGAAAAAGTATTTTTCGCTTTGACTGATTACATTTTTCAACTCCATGAGTGTCATCTGTAATTTTAATTTTTTTTAGATATTCGTTAATATATTTTGGATAAGCAGCAAAATATAAAGTCGAGGCCGAGGTGATTCCTCGCTTAAAAAAGAAAGTAGTCGATTCAAAATTAATCTTATTCTAAAAACTCGTGAGATTTTATCAGCAGAATTACGGGAGTATCAGAGCGGCTTAACCATTCACGTATAGATAAAGTTTTCCGATAAAATATGAGCAATTGCTCGTTTACAATTTCGTTACTTCTGGTCTTCTATGTCTTCGTATACCTTTCTAAAATAAAAAATCAATATTCAAATTGTGTTATATTAAAGTCAATCTGATAAAAAAATCAAAAACCTTACGATATAAAAACAATTAGCATTTTTTGAGTCACAATGACCAGAAAAAAGCAACCGATCGCAGATACAAAGTGAATCGATCAAAAGCTCCAAATATTTTAAATAATCCCATCTTCCAATGAGCCAATAGAAAACGGACTCTACAGAATTTTCCATTTTCCAAAAATTATCTGTTAAAGTATCATTATATGCTCTGTGCTTTTTGTCATAAAAAGCTGAGTAATAGAAACCTAAAAACATGATGGAAAAAATTAGAAATTTATATCTTTAATAAAAATACAACATAAATGGAGGTTTTTATCAAAACTTTATTGAATATATAAATAAAGTAATATGCTTCTAAAGAAAATGTGAGTGCTTAATCAATAAGGTACAAAACACAACACAACATAACTCAAGTTTCGAGTTACCTATAAAAACTACTATATGAAAATTTTTTGTTCTTTTTTTTGTTTGAAAGCTAAACTTTTAAAATTTTTATTTTTATTTTAATATTTAGCTTGATATTTAAAATTTTAAAGAGTTCATGATATTCTGCCAGGAGATATATAATAATCTTCTATTTTATTCTTTTGATTTCTATTTATTCTTTTTGATTTTATTTACTTACTTTATTTAATAGAAGGTTAATTTCATTATATTTATTATATTATGTTATCATTTAAAATTATTCTTTTTTATTTTTAGTTATTATTATATATTAATAAAAATATATAAATATAAGTCAGACCTCTCTATAGTCATATCTCTTTATAGTTATCCAATTTGCTCTTCCAAGTATGATAATTATAGAGAGATTGGTTATAGTTTCTTATTATATAAAATTCAAGTTGGAAATATAAATAATAAAATATATCTAAATAATTAGTTATGTTTGTATTATATTTTTATTGATTTTATTTTATTATTATAATTTTTTGATTTTTTAATTATATATTTCAATAATTTTAATAAGTTTTTATGATTTTTCTTTTATGATATTCAAAGTATTAGAATATAATTTTTTAAGTATAATAATTTTCATATTTTATATTCTTTATTATTTTCTTGTTAAAATATTTATCTAATTTATTTCTTTTATTTTCTTTATTTTTCTTTTCTTTATTATTTTTATTCTTTATTTCTTTATTTTTTTATTTAATATCTCAATTTTTCTGTTATATCTGTAAATATAAGTATAGAATTTTAAATTTTTATTTCTTTTAAACTTTAAGATCTTGATAATTTTCTTTTACTTGAATTCTTTTCTATTATTTAAATATATTCTATTTAATGATTAAAAATATATCAGATTTATTATATTTAATCTTTATAAAAAAATATTTATATTAATATAATTTAATAAAAAATATAAATATATAAAAATATTTATTTAATAATATACTTGCTTTATATATAAACTTTTAAAATTGCTAATTTATAATGATAATATTTAAAAATTATTTTTAATTTTTTAAAATTACAAATTTTATTTTTCAAAAATAAAAAATTTTTTTATTTATTATTAAATTAAATATAAAAAATTATTAAAAATAATATAAAAAATTTATAAATATTAATTATATTTTATATAATTATTATTAAAAGTAATTAAAATATAAAAAATTTAAAAATATTTAATATTAAATTATAAAAAAATTTTATTTTAATATATATAATTATTAAAATAAATATATTATTAAATAATTTTTAATCTGTTTTATAATATTATATATTTATTTATTTGTTGTAATTCAGTATAAAAAGATTTATATCTCAATATAAAAAATTTTTATTTTGATAATATCAAAGTTATATATAATAAATTAAATAAATTTATTAGTATAAAATAAAAAGAATATATATAAATATACAGTGGCCATCAAAAATAATGCAACGCTTCAATTTTTTACTAATTATAATTAGTAAAATATGTAGTTTTTCTTATATAGCATAGTTGCCCA